TGAGGAGTACATAGACAAGTATGTCTTGCCTACAGTCAAGCATGGTAGTGGGAGTGTCATGGTCTTGGTGTGCATGAGTGCTGCCGGCACTGGGGAGCTACAGTTCATTGAGGGAACCATGAATTCCAACATGCACCTTGACATACTGAAGCAGAGCATGATCCCCTCCCTTCGGAGACTGGGCCGAAGGGCAGTATTCCAACATGATAACGACCCCAAACACTCCACCAAGATGACCACTGCCTTGCTAAAGAAGCTGAAGGTAAAGGTGATGGGCTGACCAGGAATGTCTCCAGACCTAAACCCTATTGAGCATCTGTGGGGCATCCTCAAATGGAAGGTGGGGGAGCGCATGGTGTCTAACATCCACCAACTGCATGATGTCGTCATGGAGGAGTGGAAGAGAACTCCAGTGGCAACCTGTGAAGCTCTGGTGAACTTCATGCCCATGAGGGTTAAGGCAGTGCTGGAAAATAATGGTGGCCACACAAAATATTGACAGTTAGTGTCCAATTTTGACATTTCCACTTAGGGGTGTACTCACTTTTGTTTGCAACGGTTTAGACATTAATGGCTGTGTGTTGAGTTATTTTGAGGGGACAGCAAATTTACACTTTTATGCACTTATTACTTAACATTGTAGCAGAGTCATTTCTTCAGTGTTGTCACATGAAAAGAAATAAAATATTTACAAAAATGTGAGGGATGTACTCACTTTTGAGAGATAATGTATGTGTTAAAAATGAAATTGAATCTCTGTCCATACAACACTTTATTTTTTATTTTTAATATAAGCAAATATATTTTAAGCTATTGGGATTTTAAATTAAATTGACAGGGCCCCACTAAATGTGAATGGTTAGTGTGATTCTACTTAGAATGGCCTTGCCATTACTGACTCCAGTGTGGTTACTCCAATTTATAGATCAAATGTTTCTTTTATAAGAGATTATGTGGTCCTATCTCACAATAAATCAGACTGCCTCTATTACTACTTTGTTTTGGTTAGTGTTATTCAGCAACAACATTTTCCTTCCTTATCCAGAATGCTTTTCTAATACCTGTACATACTGTGTTATGAGGCATATAAGAATGTGTGCAAAACCATTAACCAAAATATTTTTCTTTGACTTTAACTCCACTGTTCTCGAAGCTGTGGTTTGTTTTTTTTCTGTGTGGTCGATTGTTGGTCTTTCAGGATTTCACACGTATTTGATCAGCTCCAATCAAACAACCAATGAAGATGTAAGGGTTTTATTTATTTTTGTAATTTGTTTCTTGTTTGCATCTTAACTTATTAAGTACATGTGCAAATGGCTTCTTGAATCACAAACATCAAAGACAGATGTGTTTTCAATAGGCATATGAAACTTTATTGAGAATGCATAACATCACACTTTAAAGTGAACGGTTGTCTATTAAGTTTTAAAAAATAAATCAATACAAATTCACACCTACCGTTAGTATATGACAATATCCTTCAGTCATAAACCTAAATCTTCGGTCAGACTGTTTGAAAACACAGACAGTCTCATCTGTCTTCCCTGTTTCACTCCCTGCACAGAAGCATGAACGTCTGCCTCTTTTCAAACAATGCCCGACCCAAAGTTCATGAATATGGCTGAAGGGTCATACCTTGAGAGTATTAACTGCTTGAAAACAAATAGAGCCTACATGGTGAGACAGAGTGGTGGTAGAAGGAGAAGAAAATTCAGGATTATTCTAGCTTCAGTGACTGCATAATCTAAATTTTATTAAAGACAGGAGTCTTCATATTTGCTTTAGCCTTCTTTACTGAACCTCCCAGCAGCAAAAAAATAGTTAAACATATAGAGAAAAATCAACCAATCAGGACACATATTAGAACATAACAGACTGTCAGGCACCTCCCAAATCTGCTTTCTGATGCAGCCGATCATAAGTGTAGTCAACCGTGTAAACTTGAGTAATCCATCAACCATGTAAACCAGAACGCAGCCAATACTAGAGACCAATAGAACGTATTCTTCGTGGCTCATGCAGAGAAACTTCACACTAAAAGACAGAGAAAGATTGTGAAAGTATGGTCACTTGGACTGGGTGTCCGCAACATATCTACATACACAGATCTAACCCTGGATATTAAACATAGAAACATAGAATGTGACGGCAGATAAGAACCATTTGGCCCATCTAGTCTGCCCAATTTTCTAAACACTTTCATTAGTCCCTGACCTTATCTTATAGTTAGGATAGCCTTATGCCTATCCCACGCATGCTTAAACTCCTTTACTGTGTTAACCTCTACCACTTCAGCTGGAAGGCTATTCCATGCATCCACTACCCTATCAGTAAAGTAATACTTCCTGATATTATTTTTAAACCTTTGTCCCTCTAATTTAAGACTATGTTCTCTTGTTGTGGTAGTTTTTTCTTCTTTTAAATATAGTCTCCTCCTTTACTGTGTTGATTCCCTTTATGTATTTAAATGTTTCTATCATATCCCCCCTGTCTCGCCTTTCCTCCAAGCAAATGGAGTATAAATTATTGCAAAATCTAAAATAGTCAGAACCAGGCAGATTAATAAGTACCTAACCAGAGCAAACAGAAAAAACAGCCAGATTAATATAAAGTCTTACAAGAAACCTAGAAAAAAATAAGAGTATATGTGACCTGAAAAAAATCTGGGGTGGGATACCAATAGGGTGGGAAAATATTTGCCTCCTGTCTTTAATAAAATTTAGATTATTCAGTCACTAAAGCTAGAATAATCCTGAATTTTATGGCAAGACTGGAGGCTTCATATTTGCTGTTTTAAAGTGTGGAAACCAAAGAGAGAGAAGCATGGGACGATTGTCGAAAATAAAAGGTACGGAAGATAGATTCTCTAGACCAATCAGCGCATTTTAGGGTGTCGGCAAGGGATCCCCCAGCCATAAAGGCGGAAGAGGCAGCAGCCCCTTTGACAGAATGAGCTCCAAAAGAGGAATCTATGCCCGCTAAATCGAGAAGCCATTTAATCCAGCGGGCAATCGTGGGACAAGATACTGGCTTGTGTGGTCGCACATATAAGAAACGGGGCCCGTAGGGCTACGTAGACGTGATGTAGAGGCGACGTAGTGTTGGACACAGCGAGCAACGCAGAGTGACGGTCTGTCAGAAAAATAAGGGTAAGTAATCGTTAAGGAATTAGTTTTAGTGCGGTGAGAAATATTGAAACGTACACCTTGGGGTGTGAAATCAATAGCGTGAAAGTCAAATGCCTGAATATCAGACACTCTTCTATAAGATACTAAGCAGAGAAGAGCTAATTTGGCAGACAGTTGTCGTAGAGAGAGTGCTTAGTTGGGTGGCCAAGTCTCCAGCAAGGACAAAACAAGAGCAACATCCCAAAAATGAGAATATTTTGGGACAGGAGGTCGAGCATGACGAATGCCATGCAACAGTCTACAGATGGAGGGGTGTTTACCTATTGCAGTATTATGAATGGGGTTATGAGCTGCTGAAATTGCTGAATGAAACACATTAATGGATCTGTAGGATTTACCTTGATCAAAAAGAGAGGACAGTAAGTTCATAACGTTAATCAAAGAAGTTGAAATGGGATCAATACCCCTTTCCAAGCACAAGCGATGCCAAACTCTCCAGGCTGAGAGGTAAGAGTGTCTAGTCCCGGGGGCCCATGAGTCCCATAAGAGTTCTCTAGCAGTCTCCGAAAGTCCTGCGGCATTCCAGGATCCCCGGAAACAGTCCAGGCCACTAGCTGGAGAGGACCCTGCAACGCGAGAGGGTGAAAGTTGCCTGCGGGATCTTTGAGAAGATTGTACGTGGCAGGTAGCAGTAGTGGATAATTCACTGACATCTCCAAGAGATTGGGGAACCATGGTTGGGTACGCCACAAAGGGGTCAGAAGTGTTATTGTGGTCCCCTGAGTCCTGAGATGATGGAGAGTGCGAAGGATCATGGAGAACAGAGGGAAGGCATAAGCTCCGGTCATTGGCCAAGATTGAAGGAAGGCGTCTACTGCCAGAGAGGTCGGATCCGGCAACCAACTGAAAAAAGCGTCAGTCTGTCGATTCAGACGAGACGCAAATTGGTTGAGGTTGAATGGACCCCGAAGAATATGGAGATGGTAAAAAACGCGTGGGTCCAATTGCTAGTCGCTGGAGTCTCTCCAGTGTCGAGAGAACCAATCTGCGACTAAGTTGTCAGAACCAGGTAGATACTCCGCTCGAAGGGAGATGTTCTTGTCCAGACAAAATTGGTATAATTCTTTTGTGAGGTCTGAGAGCATTTTGGAATGGGATCTCCCTAAGCGATTCATGTATTGAACAGCTGAGATGTTGTCCATTCTCAGCACTATGGAACAATTGTAAGAGTCCTTTGCGAAACTGCGGATCGCAAAGGAACCGACAATCGATGCAATTGATGTGCAATGCCCGTTCTGAGGGGGACCAAGGAGAGATTTGCGCATGATGCACCCCAGCCCAGAAGACTGGCATCTGATTCTAGGATGTAATCTGGCTGTGATCCGAAGATTCTGTGTTTGCCTAGGTGAGGGAGGTAAACACGGATACGTGTTTATTCAGGTCCCGTATGAACCTGTCCCCAAATAACAGTCTGTTAGCCTCTGGACCAAGTTCTTTGGTGCCTAGTTCTGCCAATTTGTCGTCAATTTTATATAATACGGCTATACGCCATTCAACGGAAATAGCTACATTGGCGTTGCCCAACAGGCATATTGCTATACATATTGCACTATTGGTTTATCTTCTATATTATCTTCTCTTTTATCTTCTATATAAGTGGAACCACTACTATATCTGAAGACCCTACCATTGCACCAACTTCCTTAAAGGCCATTCGTAAGGACATATAAGTTGGACTTCTTTTTATTTGGACTTTGCTTATTTTTATTCTGTTTTTATTATTTAATGTGTCTTGTTTTAAAGGGTTTTGAGGGATTCCCCTTTAAGGGTTGCTGCCTATTAGTTGACCAGTGCTGTCTCATCCATTTACCATTATAACGCTCTTTGTGCCCATTTACGCACCATGTGTGCGTCAAAATTGCCACCTGCTAGCATCTCGTCAGCGATTATAAAAATCTGGATAAGCGGGCCTGCTATATCCATCAACTTGTCTTGGGTGGCTTTTAAGCCAACTAAGATTACTTTGCGGGGATCTTTACCCGTCTTAGTTAGAAAAGTGACCAGGAGTGGGTCAAGTTCAGGGGTAACATCCACCTTATCAGGGATTATAGGCCGTGGAAATTCTGCTCTTAATTTGGCTCTAATCTCCTTTTCTAAAGGTTTACGAAGCCATAATCTGCAATATTTGGCAATGTGATCAGGGGGTGTCCATTCTGCTGAACGAGGGTGTCTGATGCAGCGTGAGTCAAATAGAGGACAACCATTGGTATCCAATAGGATATCGTCCTTAGTATTGTCTAAATTAGTAGTGGACATAGGATCCGTGTCCTGAAAGGACTGGTTTTGGGGTAGGAGAAAAGTCTCCGTAACAAATTCAGAAGAGAAAGGGTTACCTGGGAGATCCTCATCTGGATATGCATTGTATTCATCTATCACTCGAAGGTGATAGCCAAAGGTTGAACCCTTTAAGGGTTCAGATTCTGAAGTCAAAGTGGGTTTGTCAATTTAGCTGGCTTTGCCTTTGCCAACAGAAGCACTGTTACCCTTCCAAGGGCGCTTACGTGGGGCTTCGTCATGGTCAGAGACCCTGGAATCATCCGAGGCTGACAATTGCGTGATGGTGGCAGTAGTGGCTGTCTGGTCACGAAACGTTGCCAAGGCTTTGGGGATAGAGTCTGCAATTGCAGCTTGAAGCCTAGCTTTTAATTCTGCTGACATTGCAGGTTCTGATTGGTCCGACATGATGACCAGTAAAATAGTAGTGGGTTCACCACTGAACAACTTTTTTTTTTTTTTTGTATTTATTTTTTGTATATATATATATATATTAACAAACTTGTCACAAACAAAGTAAAAGCAGGGACTGTCTTATTGGGGTTCACCCAGACAATATGCAGTCACCTTTAAGGGGACTCAGTGGGGTTCATCCACAATTATGGCAGTTAAACTGTCAATATAATAATGACAGGGGTAACCTGTGCAATCAATAAAAATATAAGGGGTTCACCCTGAGAGATAAGGCACGGGGGGGTCACACTCAATAAAGAGGCACAAGGGGATCACATTCAATAAAAGAGGCAAGAGGGGGGTCACCCTCAATAAAAGAGGCAAGAGGGGGGTCACCCTCAATAAAAGAGGCAAGATGGGGTCACCCTCTAATAGGCAAAGAGCTGTTTTGTAAGTTTGAGAGCAATCTGAAAACTAGAAAAGCTACAATTTCTGGGGAAATTGTGTGAAGTGTTCTTGCCTCCACCAGTAGTCTACAACTGGAGTGGGCAGAGTAACTGTTATCATTTATATAGCACATTTAATTGCAACGTTGTTGCACAGTTACATTAAACCATACATTTATAAAAAAACATTAGCAGGTGTTCAAAAGGCCCTGTCTATGACATCACTTGCTGCTGCAGCCTTGACAGGTCAGAGTATTTTGGTGGTTGCCATCTTCAAACGGTCGTATTTTAAAAACTATAAATACTACAGCAAAGAGCTTTATATTGTGAGAATCACAAGACCCAGACCTACATTTTGATGCATAGTATGTCTCTGAAGTATTAAAAATGAAGGCACAGTCGCAGTTTAGAAATTGCACTTCAAATTTGAGCTTTGTAGAGTGAAGTTTCAATGAATGTCAATGGACGGCGTTAGATGCAAACAAATGATTATATTGTGAAAACTATCAGGACTATGGCTTAGCCGTTGACATGTTTAGTGGCAGCAGGGATAGCTGAACGTTTTGATATAAGATTTGTGTAGGTGGGCCTGAAAATAAGGGAGTGGTGGCAGTTTAGAAATCATGTCCTGATTTTTCAGCTTTTGCCAATACCCACTCTAGCTTTGCCATTCATTCCTATGGGACAAATTTCGCCACAAGAACGACGATATTCCGTGAACCATTCGGCGAAACGTTCCACAAAGTAATAGCAATCCGATCGGGAACAATCTGCACGTTTTGGTAAATTTTTGTCTATGTAGTGTAAAAACTGTGGGAGGAGTTAGGGTGGCAAATTTTGCTATAATAATAATAATATATATGTGAGATAACATTAAGTGGTCTTGCTGTGCAAGAACACTTAATAATAATATATATGTGAGATAACATTAAGTGGTCTTGCTATGCAAGAACACTAATAATAATAATATATATGTGAGATAACATTAAGTGGTCTTGCTATGCAAGAACACTTAATAATATATATGTGAGATAACAATAAGTGTTCTTGCAAGAACACTTAATAATAATATATATGTGAGATAACATTAAGTGGTCTTGCAATGCAAGAACACTTAATAATATATATGTGAGATAACATTAAGTGGTCTTGCTATGCAAGAACACTTAATAATAATAATATATATGTGAGATAACATTAAGTGGTCTTGCTATGCAAGAACACTTAAATATATATGTGAGATAACAATAAGTGGTCTTGCTATGCAGGAACACTTAATAAAACACAAATAGGCTATGATAAGCAAGTGTTCTGTAATAGATTAAGAGTAACAACAAAATGTACCGGCAGGGGGCAATGAATACTCACAGTTTAACAAATCTGCAATCCAGTAGCAGAGAGCAGTTCCTGAAAAGCGTGCGAACGGGCATTCTAATTGCCTAACAGAAGATGGCCGCTGGCAAGAAGGAGGAGGCGGGAAAACTGTGTGTCAATCAATGACGCGAGAAAACAGGCGGTACAGAAATAGATCGCGGGCGTGATCAAAACAGACCGCAGCCACTGTAAAGCTTATTAGTAAGCTTTACTTTAGAAATAAATAGAGATAAATAAAGTCACAGGGAAGGGACTGGACAGTGAGCTGTCCTGAGAAAGTTCGATGTGATAAAGGGCAGCGATAAAATAAACACACACATTACCTCATGGGAGTAAAACAGACAGGGAAAGTTAATTAAAGGAGTCAAAAAAAATATGGAAAAATAAAATAAGGCAGGTCAATAATATATATTAGAGAGCTATAATTGGAATAGACTCACCTGGGAGGCAAGCAGCAAAGAAAGAGGATTTAGGAGGAGCCTGACAGACTGTTATGTTCTAATATGTGTCCTAATTGGTTGATTTTTTCTCTATATCTTTAACTATTTCTTTGCTGCTGGGAGGTTCAGTAAAGAAGGTTAAAGCAAATATGAAGCCTCCTGTCTTGCCAAAAATTAGGGATAACCCCTAAATAGCTAAATGTAGTGGAATCAATAAAAAAAAAATCTACCAGCAGGTGTCTCCTGATTCAGTATTGTGTTACATAATAGTCAGGGAAAAGCCTTGTCACAGTAACTAGTAACTAGTAAAACCTAACTTTCAATGTCATTAAGTAAAAAGAAATAGAAAAAATGAATGAAACACTAGACCCTTGCTGCAGAAGTCTAGTTAATTTGAACCTTCATTGTAAATATTTGTATATATTGGTACCACTGAATCCTCACAAACCTAACTTTGATACTTTTTCTATTAACACAGTTAATTCACTGTTATAAAGCAGACACGTACTGTCTGTGCTGATAAAGCAAGATTTATCATCTGATAATAAGACTGAATATCCTACTTTTTGCTTTAATTTAATTATTTTTTTCTATTTATTTTTACTTAATATCATTAAAAGTTAAGTTTTACTAGTTATTACTTGTTACTGTGACAAGGTTTTTCCCTGACTATTAAGTAACACAATATCTAATGCGGAGACACCTGCTGGTAGATTTTTTTTCTATTTATTTATTTATTTTTATCATTTAAAATCAAATCGCTTTCCCTTCAAAATTTGATGGAAGGACTGTTAATTTTTTTTTTTTTAAGGTAACAGTTGTCCTAATTATAGTGTTGCCTCTCTGATTTAACCCCTTGACGACCGATGACGGTCCTGAACCGTCATAACGTTCAGGGGCTACTTATCTGATCGCCGTTGGTCCCCCGGCGGCGATCAGCGCTCGTCCCGGTCCAGGGGGACTGCCTTTCTGCTCGGGCAGTCTACCCTCGGCAGATCAGGACCCCACGGCCACATGATCACTCGATCACGTGGCCGCAATAGGTGCCTGTGTATCTACCTGCAGGGGGCCTGTCTGTGCGGACAGGCAGTCTCCCTGCAAGTGAAAAATCTAAAATAAAGTAAAAAAATAAAGCAATCAGTGTAAAAAAAAAAATGTGTGTGTGTGTGTATATATATGTGTGTATATATATATGTGTGTGTATATATATATATGTGTGTGTATATATATATGTGTGTATATATATATGTGTGTATATATATATGTGTGTATATATATATGTGTGTATATATATGTGTGTATATAT